ACGTGGGAATGATTATGGTGAGATAAGAGTTTCCTTGAGGTGGTTTAGTCAATTGCTTTTAAGGAGTACATCTTTTTCTTTAGCTTAATTCCAAAGATATAACATAGCATTGTAAATAACCTACTTTTACTTTTTTACTAATTTAAGTATTCTGTAGATATAAGTGTAGGTTTATTAGCACATTTATGATCAATATTGATATTTTTCAACTTGGACTTTGAGTCTTGATCATTAATATTTTGTGATTTTCTTCCATATTTAATTCAAATGCATAGAATATTGGGAAGTTGACTAAGTGTTGGTTTTAATGAATTAAAAATATTCTATTTTATTCAATTTACATCACCTTGTATTTCACTATGTTGTGACCAACACATACATTATGTCACAATTTTGCCAGTTGCAGCTATCCATCAAAGGTGGGGAATTAGGAAATAAAATAGTCTCAAAGTGACAGTGGAACTTCCAGAATAACAGTCTCAAAGCCAATGCACTTTATTTGTTAGGGAAAATATGTATACAAGATGAGTTACATGTGAAAAAATGCATGTTAACAAAAAGAAGTGATAGCCAAGGGCAACAAGGAATAGTCAAAACAAGAGAGAACAGTATAAGATCATGTAAAACAGGCGTAAGAATCTTATTTCCTCCGAATTTCCAAGACAGCATACCTCTCTGATAGGATGTTCATAAGTCTCATTCTGGGCCACCAAGAATGTGGATTAACATACATTGTTAATGTAATAGAACAATGTCAATTTTAGAAGACTGCCGTGAAAATGATTATATTAAAAGTACATTTGGGCATTTAAAACATAAATTTTAGTTCCTTGTAAAATTAACTTATGCAGTGCATATCAGTTCATAGTGGATAGATTTTCAGAATCTTGACATTTTTCCTGTAATTCAAAATTTGATGGTTATACATCAGAGTGTGTGTGTGTGTGTGCGTGTTGAGAAAGAGAGTGAAAGAGAGAAAATGAGAGAATGAGAAAATTATTTTTTCAATTATTTTCCCAGCTAGTGAATCTTCTTATATTAAATCAAGGCAAAGGAGTGTGTATTTTGCAACATACACCAAGATCTATATATTTATAGCTATTTCTGTGTCCATCTATCTATCTTCTAGAGCAACAGTCCCCACCCCTGGGCTATGGCCTGTTAGGAGCCAGGCTATAGAGCTCCACCCACCCGCACTCCCTTATACCCCCAAACTCCCTCATGTCCATGGAAAAATTGTCTTCCAGGAAACTTAGGAACAGGGCTGCAAAGCAAGTGGTGAGCAGCTGGTGATTCACTGAAGCAGCTTTATCTGTATTTACAGGTGCCACCTGCTCCCCATCATAGGTATCACCATGTGAGATCTGCCTACTTCCCCCTGCAATCAGTGGAAGAATTGTCTTCCATGAAATCAGTGCCTGGTGCCAGAAAGGTTGGGGACCACTGTTCTAGAGGATTTTGTTCAGGCAAACTGTTCACAAATAACTCTCCTTAGCCCTGTCCAGATAAGCTTTTAACATAATTGGAAGGGATAGTTTGCTGGCATGGCATAAATGGTGGGAGTTCTGATGTTGATGTCATGAGCCAGAATCAGTTATCACCCACAATGGAAAAGAAAACTAGCATAGAAACAGAAGGTGTCATCCATCCATAGGTGCATGGTCCCAGGTTTGGTTAATCAGGGGCACAATAATGTCATCCAGAGCCTAGAGGCTTTCTGTCTTTCCACTTGCCCCTTCTGGTCCCAAGATGACTGGCACATCTCCAGGCATAACATACACAAATAAATCTAAAGGCCAATAGCACTTTTTTTTTCCAAGCATGGTATCTATATATGTTTCATTAAAGGTAAATATTTTTTCCCTGAAGGTCCTCCATTCCCAGGAAACTTCCTCTTGACCTCACTCAGTGTTCAGGTTCCACTACAACCCATCCCTAAACCAACACTGGCAAGTGAGGTAGAGTTATGGTCATTGATGCCATAGTTGACATGGAGGAATGAACATTCACTCCCTGGTATGAGGGAGGAGGCTCATCTCTCCTGAGCTGGTAGAAGGCTGAATGCTAGGATAGATTCCCACTGTGCCAATAGAAAGGAATGGTAAGGAAGGGGCTGTTGGACAGCTAGCTAAGTATTTTAGCCATATTCATTACTTGTGAGCTTATTGTATCCCTTTAGTAGATTCAAGATTATTTAAGGGGGGACTGTTCTCATCAGCACTTGGAATAGTACCTTGCCCTAGGGGATAACTAATAAATATTTACTCAATTGATTAGAATTTACCCATATCAATTGATATGGGTAAAGATAGAAAACCTTTTCTATCTTTTAAAAAATTGAATCTAAATTCTCAAAAATTGAATTGTTTGAATATCAGTGCCCTCCCAGTAAAGCTGTGTTTATTCATTCCAGAAAATGATTGAGAGGCCTTAATCATAAAGGTACTGGAATAAAGTTACTGTGGATGCTGTGTAATATAAACCCTGCAAAGGCTGTTTACAATTCTGTGTGGGTGTAGGAGGAAAAAGGATTCAAATATAAATGTAAGTGGGAAAGAAAACTTGTTTTGAATCCGTTTTATGCATCTGTTAGCATTTTGAAGATTATGCAGTACAACTTATCATCTTAAATATTTTGAACTAAAAGAAAGGACTTCTATCTAAGACCACTGCAATTCCTTATTAGCAGCTCCATTAATAAATTTTTCTTGGAAAAGCTGAGTTCAATAATTTTAAATTCAGTACATTATTATACATATCTTACAATTTCATTTAAAAATCTTTTTCTTTAGAAGAGATCAAAAGACCAGATTTTGATTACTTATGTGCTAACGAAGTATGAAACCACTGTTCCAAGTCCACATTTGTTTTGTGATATAAATACTTTTAACAGTTTATCTTTTTTAATGTAAAGAATTTTTCATATAAACTTCCCTTCATTTTGTTCAGGTTCTGTCATGGTACATGTTCTTAAGTTTTCACTTTGTCAATTACTATAACTGATGTATAAATTTCCACTTTTTAAAAAGATTTGAGATAATATAAATTAAATTTTCTCTAAAAAGAAATGCAGTCTTTATTTACCTAGTAAATGATCAATCTGTAGCAGTAAATAAGTGTTTCCTGCCTTACTCAACAATACTCATTTATAATATGTTGTCTCAAGTGATATGAAAATTTAAGTTTAATTCAACACCAAGACATGAATGATTTTTAAAACATTTTATTGTCTGCTAATGGTGCTTATTTTTAGTTACAGAATTTGGTAAGTAAAGTCATTGTAAGCATAAATCGTGTTCTCGTGTCATTCCGGAAAGCAGTTGAAGAGTCTATTTCACTTTCCCTGTCATATTGTGATCTTTTAATCCTGAAAGAAATAGCAAAAGGAACAATGAAAATAATTTATAAACATTCCTAGTGGGTACCAGTTACAAGAACATGTATGGCTTCAATTGTCAAAATAATGTCTAGCCATTTAAGTTGAAGTCCATAACTTCCAAAGTTTATTTGTTATGTCATTGTCATTAGATATTAGGTGTCCATGATGGAGTCTCCTACTTTCAGAACACTTAAAACCTATTATTTAATAATAAGATAGCAAATGCCACCTTTCATTGAGTACTTCTTGCATTCAAGGGTTCAAGCTCATTATTTTCAATAAAAGCACTCTAAGAAACTATTGATATTTCTACACTAGTTTTACACCAAAAGAAACTGAATTTTAAAGACTTCAACTACCTTCCCAGAGTCACCTTTCATAAATTGCTTTGGTGAAGTGTGAGCACATTATAAAGTCCATGTATTGATTATTTGTTGTTGCAGTTTTTGGCTGGGGCCAGGCTTGAACCCACCACCTCTGGTATATGGGGCCAGCACCCTACTCCTTTGAGCCACAGGTGCTGCCCCCATGTATTGATTATTAAAGAAGCAATAAATAAATGGATTTTCTATGCAAAGAGAGAACATGTACCTTATAATAACTAGTGATGGGTACAAGATTATGTGGGCTTCAATCAATTTTCAAGAATTCTGCTCAATATTCTCCATAAGTGTGCTCACAATTTTAAAGCTATATATGACACATTATGATTTTTCAAATTCAGAAAACTGAGATTTATACGTGTGCAGAGGATTAAAAATTATCTGATTCAGTGGCTTTCCCCCATTTTAAAGAAAAGAGAACATCTATAAATTTGATGTAACCTGTAAAATACTCCCTCCTCTTTGAGGCCAGAACCAAATCTGGAACCCAGGTGTCCTGGCTCCCCATCCAGGTCATTTCCACCTCACCTCTTTCTGTTTTCAGTAGCAAATCATCAATAGCATTTACAAATTAGAATCACATAATCTCACATACACAAAAGTGAGGGTTTACAGATGTGGTTAAGGGTCATTTTGTTGACTACATCCATTCATTTATAAGAGCTTCTGGCAATGGAAAAAGATTTAATGCTACATTGTGGCAACTTCTTGCTGAAAGCTTAATGCATAGAATTCCAGCACTGAAAAGGAATCTAATAGCCTGTTTAGTTTAGCCTCCTTCAAGTTAGATTGGAAAGCACTGGAGACAGGTAATCTGATTTAGTTGCTTTAGGTTTTTAAGTGCGATTTCCCATCTACCTTTTGTAGCTTGTTCAAATATTTGCACCCCTTCACTCTCAAAAATTCCTCCCTCCTTTATCTTCAGTGCAATTCTAGCCTATACTTGCTAGTCAAACCTAAATAATGGGAGAACTGATGTTCCCTTATACTGTTCCTCTTAAAATTAATGGGTTTTATTAATATATATATAATCTGGTAGAAAATCAATAGTGGTAGATTTTAAACCATCATGAATACTTGGTCTTAATTACCAACCCATGTAAATAAATTTGCTTATCATATAAGGGTACAATACATGCTTGGACTAATAGAATCATACATGCTGGGTTGTCTGAGACCTGAGAGCTCTGGGGCTACTTTTGCTGCCCCGTTTGCTCAGCATTTGTGTGGTAGTGGCTTCAAGGCATACTCACCACTTCCTCCCGCTTGGTCTTGTCCGTTGCTGGCCAAGCTTCCAGAGGCAGATCGGGAAGCATGGGCGGCAGGGGCTGCATGGGGAACAGCGGAGGCAGAGGTGGCTGTGGCGGCAGGGGCTGCATGGGGTGCACAGGTGGCTGGGGCTGGATGGGCTGCATGGGCTGCATGGGCTGCATGGGCTGCATGGGCTGGTGAGGCTGCGGCTGAACGGGCTGGGGCTGGAAGGGCTGCTGGGCGGGCGGAGGGAGGTTTGGCTGGTGGTGTTGGGTTGGAGTCATGGAGTGTTGGCCAGGAACGGGCATCATTGGTTGCTGGGGGACCACGGGTTGCTGAGCTGGCACCACTGGGATGTGGTGATGAGGCTGCAGGGTGTGAGTCGGGGGGTGCTGTTGGGACAGCACGGGGATGATTTGGTGGTGCAGCCATCCACCCATGGGCTCGTAACCATAGGAAGGGTACTGGTGAGAAACAGAGAGGCTCAGGTCACTTCCAACTGGACAAGCAGCAGTGTTTGCTTTGCCATTATGGCCATAGGAATATTTTTATTCATTTTTTCTTCTGCAAGAATTTCTAACTGTGTACACACATATGACCTTTACAACTAATATCCCATTAGTGTCTGTATGTGGAGTAGACACATTTCACTTAATATGGGAATTTAAATGCATGCCTAATATTTTAAGGGAATAAAGAACAAAATACCTACCGGTGGTCTTAACATGCTCTGGTACCACTTCACAGGAGTAAGCACCTTTAGAGAAAGAGATATGAGAATGCATTTGATTTAATTTACTTCATTCCAGTATAGAAACTCACTAATGCAGTATGAAATATTGACTCACTAATGCAGTCCTGTCAATATTGATAGCCTGAGAATATGACTTCTACAAAAGAAAGAAGAAGGTAAACATTTGTTGGGTGCTTCCTATGTGTCAGGCACTATGTTACATCCATTACATTTTTCATGTTTTCTCCCATGCTCAGAGGCATGTATCGTCACCCTCACTTTTTGTAGATAAGGTCATGGAGATAAGGTCAAGAGGTTCATTAACTGAGTTTGTAAAATTAGTAATTCTGTCTAATTCTATAGCTCCTGCTCTTCATCATCAGAGCAAGATAAACAAAAATTATGGCATATTAATGCAACATAACAGGAATTTTGTTCTTGTTTATTCGATGTCATATTGGAGGAAAAAGGAAATGGAAACACTGTCCCTCATCCTACAAACACAGATTTACTGGTCAAATATCTCAACCTTTTAAGGTTTAACAGAGAATCTTGCCTCAAATTCTTACTAACATTTTCCTTCAGCTTGTATAAGTAAACAGACTCACAGATTATTATCTGAACCCGTGAGAGAAATAAGAATTTCATTCCTTTCTGAACAGCATATACTTGGTTAACCTTAGGTTTGGGGCTCCCTAATAGAGTAATACAGCATTTAATCCATGTAATTGTTAACCTTTCTCAAGTTATACTTGATGAAACACTTTTCATAGTCAATAACTGTATTACTTTCCAAGCAATATTTTGAAATATGCTATGCTTATCATACATATTTTTCTTCTCCAAATGAGGGAGCCAAAGTTCCAGAGAGAGAAAATGATTTTCCCAAGGTCCTGTAGTTAGCAAGGGATTGAGAAGGACCTCAAACCTGATACTGGGAATTCTGATGTTTTCCATACCTCTGCAGAGCCCCTCATGTGGCACTGAGCCACTCATCTTTCAGTGAAGCCATGTGAGGGACAACATCAAGTGTGAATGTCTTAGAATCAGGAGTTTTTTGAGCTGGAAAAAAACTTAAATAACATCTTACCTAATCCCCACATTCTACTGGCTGGGACAGAGCAAGGTTGTTCAGCCAGAATTCTCTTTCTGCCCTAGTGTGGAGCCTCCCTAAGTGGTTGTTCATAACAGATAACATTATTTTTAGGAGGAGAGGCTGAGAGTGGCCAGGTAGAAGGATGCTGGATCAATGCAGGCTTGAGGCCATCCTTCAGGGTTTAAACTAGGAAGCTGGTGGTAGGACTGTAAAATTGGGATTATTTGAGAAATACACTGAATGAAGAATCAACACACTATTCTTTACAGAGCCCCAAGGCATTGCTAACTCAAATAATGGTCAAAGTTAGTAAAGAGAAAAATTACCTCATAGCTGAAGTTGATATAACCAGGGTGCCCAGGATGAGGTGGTAGCTTTTATAGAAATGGGGAAGGAGAATAGAAAAAGAGGGAAGGGGTGAGAGTGAAGGAGAGGGAGAGAGAGAGGAAGAGAGAGGAAGAAATTAAGTCAATATGCAATTGTTCACATTAAGGGAGACTGAAATGACTTTAAAAAATCTAAATAGTGCAGAATATATCTGAGGTCTACCTTTTAGTTTGAACATGTATGCTGGGCAGGCGAGGAGCTCTCTTATTTGAAAGAGGTCCAGAACAGCTAACTGACTATCTCTGGGGTCTTATAGTCTTATGGTAGGAAACTCGGAAGCAGAAACCGGCATACATTCATTCTCCAGTGGTTTTCAGACAACTCCTCCCCCAGTGTTGTCAATGAATCTTACCCTGTCCTGCCCACCAGTTTACTTAATAAAACTCAAGCTTATTCCATGTTGGGGAGAGAGGCATGTTTCTTTTATACAGTTAAGAAAACTGACAAAAAGAGAATTATCTCACAAACATTCCCTTGCTTAAGTATGGTATCAAAGGGATTCCTCATAATTGGCAGGCAAAGTAAACAATGCTCAACAGCAACAAAAGAAACCGCAAGGTGGGAATTATTGATGACTTTAAGAAGCAGATGGGTGCAGCAAAGTGGAAACATTATAAATCCTGTAGAACATGACAGAGTTGATTTATGGAGTTTAGGCCAATCCTTTTTATTCTTCTGTCAATGATTTTACAGCAGAAAAGTTTAAAACTTCAAAATAAAAAGCAACCTGAATGATGATCTAAACCAGAACTGTTCGTCCTTTCAAAAGTGAGGACCAAGGGACTGGAGCCTTTGTGGTAGAATTCTGGTTGGCTCTGGGGTCCAGGATGGGGGATAAGAAAGAGAGGCATGCACAAAATCTTCCTCAGACATTGGCCTCATTAGGGATCAGCTCTATTATAATCTTGTATTCCTTAAGAGGGGCCATCTGAATATGAATTATTTTAGTCTGGTAACTGCCTTTCCTACCATCTTGATAGATACCATGGGGCGGTGAGGGGGGTGATTGCTGGGCTCAGGAGTGGGAAAAATGCATAGGCCCCTCAATGGACTAGGAATGGCCACAATGCACACACTACAGGATTTCAGGGACGCAGAGCACAGAATCTTGGTCTTGTGGGTGAGAGAGGAAGAGAGGAGTCAGGTGTGCTGACTTGCTGGCTTCTAGTTGTATCAGCTGCTTTTTATGACACCAACAAGCAGATGGAGGCTGGTTGGCCTGCATGTGATCTAAGCTCTCTGCCCTTAATGTCCCTATGTCTGGAGAGAACAGATCTGACATCCTGATCCCTGACATTTGAATTTTAAATATATCAGTAAGTATTGGGTGTGGTAGGGTCCTGGCAACCACAAGGAAGCCAAATACTTAGTAGATATACTCAAAGGGGTGGGGCCTCTAAAAATAAGGAGATGGTTCAGAAATCTTACACCTTAAAAGGATAACAGCAATGGTATGTGGAGGGATGGAAGAGATTTGGAAACTTGAAAGAAACTGGGCTTTAGAGAAAACTGGTAGTTTTGTAATAGAGGTATTTGCCTAAGGCTGATTACACACTTTCTCTGGAGGCCTTTGAAAGGGCCCTTCTGAAAACTTCCTCCATCTAGAGATGGGCAGTGATATTTACAAGCTAATGGTTTCAATGAGAATCTCCTAGGGTGCTTGTGAAAACTCAGAGGCCTGGGCCTTGCTCCTGCTTTAACAAATCAGAATCTTTGGTGGAGGCTCTTGAGAATCTACCTTTTAAGTAATCTCCTCAAGTGTTTCTTCAACACAGAGAGAGATGTTTGAGGACATCTGATACTATACTGTTTTAAATCCTGAAGTTTACCAACTGTTGAGCAGATTTTTATTTCTAAGCTTATGAAATTTGATACTGACTTTTGCAAGGGGTGTTTTACTCACGGGCATGGCAAAAGCTGCTCCCAGAAGGCAGGCAAACAAAATCCAGGTCCCCATGTCTTGGTGATTCTGAAATGTAAGTCAATACCCACATTTCTTATCTCTTCTCAAACATGAACATAATTGGTGATTCATAAAACACACATAATCCACATTAGGTTGTTCCTAGTAAAAAGAACAGGGCTATTCTTTGTGAGATGATGTCATTGATTTTTGATTTCCAGTTCTTAGCTAATTTTATTGTTCCTGGGGTCACAGCAGTGATAAAGATGCATTTAATTTAGGCTGAGCACTGAACAAGTTACAGGAACATGAGTGATCTATCACCACATGATTTCACATGCCACTTTCCTCTACTTATTTGGCCTGTAATCAGAGAAGCTAAATGGTATTTATAATTAATAATCAAAAGAATAGAGTTGGCTCTAAAAGTTGAGGGTTTCATCAAAATGCCCAGTATTTTATACTTTTAGAACAAGGAAGTGAAGAAATATCTACTGCTGACAACAAAGATCAATCTTTTGAGAAAAGATATTAAGTGATTTGCCAAAAGAATTTAAGGAGGGAATGGGGTTTAGTTCCAGATATTCTGGTCTATAGAACTTCAGGCGAGACCCTCTAGTAATATCTCTGAGGTGCAAATGTAGAGCAAATATCTGGTTGAACCAATAGGAGAAGATGGTACTAATATCCTGAGATTCTTCAATGAAGTTTGAATGGTTTCTACCTAAACGTTTCCATCTTCAGTCAATGGCATCTTCCTTTTGTTTGATGCATTGTAATTATTCTACAAAGACCTTCGGTACATGAAGCAAAATAGGTCATCCTGTAACACAAGTTATTAACTAACTTGGAAAACTGTCAGGTGAAAGCCCTTAAATTGTGTATAGAAAGTGACAAACACATATAATAACGCTGGCTATGAAAAGTACACTGAAATTTCCCATGTCTGAAATCCGATCATTTAAAAGGTTGGGTTAATGAGGAAAAATATTTTGCCAAGTAGAGTCTAATTATGAGCCAACTGAAGAAATAACTATTGATGGCATAAAGTATTGGAAATATGGAATACCTCCTTTAAACAAGAATTGCAGAGAAAGAAATAAGCACAATAAAAAGATAGTAAATTATGAGTAAAATCCTCATACCTTTGAATGTATTCAGAGCAAGTTTCTGTCTGAATCCAGGGATGCTTGATCCTTTAGATTCCTTCCAACTAGGAGCTCAATTTATATCATTCATGGCATCTAGAACAACCAATCAGGTTTCTGAAGGAAAAAATGTGTTGAGTATAACTAAAAATTCCTGTATCATGAATTTTTAGAAGCTGTGATCAGACCAAAGTCTGTATGTTGTGATTAGTGCATATAGAATCTTTCATTATGTACAATGACAGGTTTAACAGGCAAAAAGTTTCATCAGACAATTTTGAAGTCAGCAAATTAGGTGACTGCACATGCTTGTATATTCAAATTTATTTTTAAGAAGCTGCTATGCCATTGTCTATTCCTTGGTTCTAGCAAACAGCACTGTTCTTTACAAAAACAAGCTAGATGGTTGAGTTTCTCTAGTGTGATCACGATGTCCTCTGGGATTTTTTAGCCCTCTTAGGTAAATTGGTTCAAACCCCCATTCTGATAAAAACCCAAAGCTCTCCATAGTATGTCTCTGAGGGATTATAATTTTAGGATTGCCACAGACCTATTTTCTGTTTCCATTAAAGTTATTCTCTCTGTTCCCTGGGGCTGCCCTTTTATCACCTCTCTGGTGTCCACTGAAAAAGGAAGGCAAAGTCTTTTCTTCCTGGCCCCATCCCGAAACCCAATTGTCATTCTTGCCACCATGAACTTAGAGTTGTCACAGTAGCAAAGCTTTTACTAATGATCTGACAGCACATAGTGGACAGCACACTTACAAGTGTATTTTGTTCCTTACAAACACATGTCACAGGGCATATTGTCCTGGCTCCCCTGTCCCACAGAGCAACTTTCAGTATGATGGCCCTTCTTTGCCCACATCCTTTTGGCTCAATCTCACTTTTTCACATCTTTTCTTTCTTTTTCAGAGCTTCTTAACTTTCTCTTGAGTTGCATGGTTCCCATGTTCTCAGAAGCCTCTTTGCCTAAACAATAACCAAAGCCATTCACTTTCTAGGGGGACCTCTGATCTAGCTATGAAATTCATATGTGTTTTACCTTTTTACCTTGGTAGAACACATGGATTTTTTCCCTCTTATTCTGTAATCTGATTAATTTAAAAGCAAATTTATAGCTAGTGACAGGAACTGAGGAGTTGCCCATCAATATTAGATCAATAAAGAAAATACTGAATATATACCCAGATACAGTTGGTGTTACAGATGGATGTTCTTGAATTCATAAATAATAAAGTTTGTATATATAGATATATTTTTATATAGATAATTCACATTGGCTGAATTAAATTCAAGGAGAAAATATCCACACAAGAAAATGTAATAAATTTTTAAGAGCTAGAACTTAAGACTCAACCCTTCACCACGGGTTGAATGAACATTGACTGGTTACTTAGCCTGTTTTAACCTCAGTTTCTTCGTCTGTAAAATGGCAATAATAGTAGAATCTATCTAAGGATATTAATGTGAAAACTAAGTAAGAGACATCTCTGGGGAAATGGAAAGCTATTTACTGCCCTCCCCAGTCCTATCAACTGGCACACATTAAATGTTTAAATAATGTTAATAAATAAGATTCCAAGATGATCTTTGGTGATGAATTAGTAGGGATGAATAACTTTGATGAAAAAAAAACATAGACTTTCCAATCAGGGCAAGAGAGATTGTGAAGAAGAGAGTGAAAAGTTATAATAGGCAAAATGTATGCATGAAATTAAACATCGAATATGTTTTGTACATATTCCAAATGTGCACAAGGTTTGTATTTATTTGTGAATATATTTATTGGGGAATTTTCTATCAGAGACAAGGATTCCTTTTGAGGGAAATTGTAAAATGTATCTTAGGAAAATTGGCAGGGAGTATACCATAAGGTAGTTAGGGAGTGGAGAAAGAGGAAGGAAAATGTAGATCATATTACATTCTCCTTTAATCTTTTTCCCCATTTCATTTAATTACGTATGTTGGAGTGCCTGAAAGGATTTAGGACATACTTTTTCTACCAAATTGTGGGTAATCACTACCAATGAAGACATTGATGAATTACTAATGGTTTATAGTTTTAAAAAATTAATCTCATTACTTTGTCTCACTTTTTAAGAATGAGAGGGTGATTGGCCTCAGTGATGACTAGGATGCTTCCTCATGTGGCTCACTGGAGAGTGAGTTACTGCTAAGTTGTGATGGACAGATGAACTGGTTTTGGTGGCCAATTCCATGAAAGTATGTGGTTCTTTCTATTTTTTTCCACCCAGTCTATATCCTGTATCATAGGATATTAAAATCTGGATCTTTCTGTTTGAAATCTCTTATACTATAATACTTAGGTCCCACTTATCCAGCTTAAAAATTACTGAATGTTAAAACTGAATACATAACATAAGCAATGATTTCATTTGTGAATAAGTTGACTTTATAAAAAAGAAAACAGAATTTTTTAGATTGGCTACTTATTTGTTTATATGGCATCTATAACACTTCCGGAGTAATTGTACTCTTGTTTGTCCTTCTCTTTAAGTTCAAGTATTTTCTCCTCTGTTTTTAAAATCACTATATTAAAAATGAATCCTAAGTATAAAATATTTTCATCTATGACAGTATCTCTAGGAAAACTGTGACAGTATGGCCCCATAATGTGTCTATTCACTTCTACATTCATTCCAAATGCTGTATATATATTGAATATCTATGAACCTGAGACTGTTCTTGTTATGATACGGGACAAATGCATATATGTTTTTCTTACTTTTCTAAAAGCTTTTCTCCAAAATTATGAGTGAATAGATGCCCTTATGAATTATAATCGAGTAATTCGAGTAATTTTACCCATATCTTATAGTAGATATTCTTTTTATTTTTTTATTTTTTTATTAAATCATAGCTGTGTATAGTAATGCAATCACGGGGTACAGTGTGGAGTTTTCATATACATTTTGAAATACTCTCATCAAACTAGTTAACATGGCCTTCATGTCAGGTATTCTTTTTCTTGAGTCACAGCTCATCACATTTTGCTCTTCCCATGATGCTTATGCCGGCAACTTCTCCCTTTCTAATTTGCTGCTTCTAATTTACAGTAGGCTGGAAAACCATATGCCCAAACTTGTTAGTTGTATGTGTGAACTGCAAGTAAAGGAATGCTCCAAATGGGGCTGGCCTGGGGGCCTCACCTGTGTGAAATGCAAAGGAATTTTGGCTTTGTGGCATTGGTTTTTGATGGTTGGGAGGGTATTCTGCTTTAATTTGGGGTTACCCTCTCTCGGTTTGCATCCTGGCTTTCAGCAGTGTTTGAAGTCTGAGGGTGATCTTTGGATAACTCAGGCATTATGAGCTCTATAGGAGCTCAATTTTCTGAGGTTTTAAAAACTCATGACCAAGATTGTCTAACATTCTGTAATAACTTTTAGAGTGGTTATTCTTGTTACCAGCTTTTAAACATTTCATCAGCAAAATATGAATTAATACCTTTTGCAAAAATCCAAATGGAACTGGAGACCATTCTCTTAAGTGAAGTATCTCAAGCATGGATAAAGAAACAGCACATGTATTCGCTATTAAATTGGGACTAACCAATGAGCACATACGTGCACAGAGGAAAGTAAAGCTCAGTGGGAATCAACCAGGGGTGGGGGGAGAAGGGGAGAGGAAAAATCTACCTAACGGGTACTGTGAACACTATTTGGGTGATAGGCTCTCCTATAGTTTTTTTGTTTTGTTTTATTTTGTTTTTGTTTTAGAGACCAAGTCTCATTTTATTGCCCTCTGTAGAATGCCATGGCATCACAGCTCACAGCAACCTCCAACTCCTGGACTTAGGCAATTCTCTTGCCTCAGCCTCCCGAGTAGCTGGGATTACAGGTGCCCACCACAATGCCTGGCTATTTTTTTGTTGTTGCAGTTTGGC